GTTATGCGTTCAGCTGAAGTTGGCGATCCATTAGCACTTAAATTTGAAATACTTGACGAGCAAAGTCCTTATGAAATATTCGTACGCGAACTTGTGGCTATGGATGGTGGTGATAATGCTGAAATAACGCTTATTGACTCAAGGGGTTGCCCAACAGATCACTTCATCATGGGACCAATTAACAAGAGTTCATTATCTGGTAAGGTGCTGTTGTCACACTTTGATGCCTTCAAATTTCCATCGTCTGAAGTTGTGCAATTCCGCGCTTTGGTCACACCATGCATGCCAACATGTGAGCCCGTACAATGCGACCAAGATGATTTCAGTGCTGAACTCAAATCGCTGACTTCGTACGGACGCAGAAGAAGGCGTTCATTAAACGCAACAGGTGAGTGAAGGTGGCACAAATAAGAGTTAAAGAAATAAAAAAACAAAAGATTTAAGTTTGAGATTTGATATTTGATGCCATGTCGATACACTGTCATTATCACGATTTACTCGCTTCCTTGAAGTTATGTGTTCATACTATTTTGTTTTTTTATTTTTGTAAATTGCTTGCAATAGCCGCGGGCAAAGTTTCTGTACTTAAATTTTCGTAATGATGACGTTTTATTTTATGTCTTCATCATTTAAAGTAACTTTCGTCACTATCGCCTACACGATTTTCAATAAAACTAAATTTTATTTTATTTTATTTTATTTCTTCCTCTTTTCCTATTTTTTTTTTTTTCTAATCGAATAGAAACATTTATTGGCAACACTCGACAACGATCTCGTCGTGAGACAACAAAAAAACCCAGCCAGGACGATATGCTTTTAGTGCAATCAATTCAGATCACTGACAAATTTGGATTCGATAAGCAACAGCAAACCAAAACATCCGCATACGATACCAGCGGAGAGACCGTTTTCATCTCTAATGACGCTACACAAGGGTTCTGCGTTAATGCAATTGGTAAGCACAAGTGGCATAAAATGCGGGGGAGTAAGAAGAGCTAGGCAGCTCACAGATATCGATAGTGTTAAGGTTGTTAAAGAACAAAATAGAAAACAAATTTAAAAAAAATTGGAAAAAATTATTTATTGCTGGTAAAAGCAAAGATATTGCCCAGTGCAGCCTTCTGAGCTAAAAGTGATTTTTTAAAGAAGTTAAACACTTTTATTTGATCAAAGATATTTTATAGAAACAAACATTTGCAACTACTAATTTATGATGTGATCTGAAGACAATATATGGTGTCAAGAATAATATACTACTATAGTGCAATAAAAGATAGATAACTTTTTAGTTATGATATTTATTTGCCATGAATTTCTTGCCTTAACATTTAATAAATATAAAAATAAGGTTACTTACAGAGCCTATACTTCACAATAATATTGTGGTATTAGAATATTAAATAGAGGTGCTAACAAATGTAAGTACTTCATATACTTCATACATATGAAGTATATACATATGAATGTGCAAGTACATAGTACTTCAGAATAATGTTAGAGGAAAAACATTAGAAAAAACAGAAGGTGAAAACCCTAATTAAATAGTTTAAATCTATATAATTTAATTTAAGTTATAGATTGATAAGAAAATGTCTTTTCAAAAATTTAAGCTTTTAAGATTTTTATTTAAATTACTTAGCACAGATTTAATCTAGTCAATATTCTTGATAATTTTTATCTTTAAAATCCTTGTTCTTTTTGTTAATTTCAAAAATTTTTAATATTTCTTACAACAGGACTCATTGTTGCAACAACTGTATTCCTCCTTGCTCAATTATCAGTAATAGCAATATGGACATATATCTACCAGAGACGCCGAAAACAACAAGCGTACACAAGTGATGGCATTGGTACAACATCTGCCTATGGTGGACACACCAGCTCTACAGGATCGACTATTCTACCAACTGCGCGAACAGAATCTCTTTGCAAATTATACGAAAGTGGCATTGCTGGACGACACGGACTACAATTTTAAGAACTACGACTAATGAGATTGGAAAAAAACGTATATATACCACCTTTTTTTAAAAGAAGAACAAATAAGTAATTACTTAAGATGCTTGAGGAGAGACAGGAGCATCATTATTTAAGAAAAAGTTGCAATATGAAAACATTAGAAGACGCCATTAAAAATGTCAAAAGTATTTATGGTGCCGAATAGTTTAATACTTGCGGGAAGCAATATAAATATTAAATATTATTTAAAAAACAATTATCGATTATAAATAACTATGCAGTTGTAGTCTTAACTTAGTTATAAGTGAGAAAATCATACTTTAAGCAAATTAAATCACATAGCAAATCTTTCGAGAGCATAATTTTGGAAAAAAGGACGACTGATATATTTGAAGAACAATATCCAGCAATTTTGGATTGTTTTATATACTGCATTTTATAATATATATATATATAACATAAACTATACTAATCGAAGTGAGATATATTTAATTTTTATTTATAAAAACGACTGCTTAAAAGTTAAAGTATTTTAAGCATTTAACTTAGTTTTTAGTTTAAGTTTTTTACTTTGAAACAGAACTGCATTTATAAATTAATCACGATTCATTCATGTAAAAACATAGTACTTTTTTTATTGACAAACATTTAATATAACAATACAGATTTTCAAAATAATTAAGAAGCAAAAATTAAAAATATTTTAGCAACAATAAAATAAACACAACAATTGACTATAATAAATGCAATAAATAAATGCAATAACATAAAATTTTAATAAATTAAAATATATAATATAACGTTAATATTTATTTTTATTTCATAAGTTAATTAATTGCAATATAATTTAAAAATTATATTTTTATAATGTATTTATTTAATAAAATTAAATAGACATAATAATACTAAATAATTAAGAATAATTTTAAAAATGTCACTTGTCCTTTTTTCTAAACAATTTCATTTCGCAATAAAATTTACCAATAATAACCAGCAATATATATATATATTATTTTAGAAAATATTTAATAAAAATTTTGTGAGTTTCTTATTAAATTTAAATAAATTGTATTAGTAATAAAACAAAAGTGTTTTATATTACGTATATAAGGGAGCAAAGAATCATGATATGATATACATCTATACATATAACATATACCATATAGTTAAAAAAGCAGGTAGACTCTACCATTCCAAGCCACTTGTTATTTTAAACGACCAAATGGCGCTCATTCCTCTCAACAAAGTTCCGATAATGACAACAACACAGTATATGTCGACTAAAGTAGCAAACAACCAGGACATACATGAGAGACTACTAGGGATAAGATCCATATAGACCAAAATTTATTCTTATATAATCTTTTAGGTAAATACTCATAATACATTTATGAATTGAAATAGCAAATGAATAATAAATTCTTACTAATAAATGACTTCCAATAAATCAAAAAAAAAAAAAAACAATAGAAAATTTCTGGGCTACTGAATCCAAAAGATTATGCCTCTAGAATTCACTGCAATACCGAACTTAAGCAATTGTCCAACCACGAGACTCTCATCCGTTGTATTAAAGCACAATATAACATTATATAAAATGGCTTGACCACGATATCATCCAAACGATCACTAAAGGGTGTTCTTAGAGGAAAAGAAGAGAGGTTTCGGGTTACAAGAAAGACTTTGAAATTGATAGCTAATTGCTGTAGAATGGAACTTAAAAATTATTTCAATACGAAATTGCGAGGCCGTAAACTTGTATTAAATATTCGAGAAACATTGAGAACGAAGTTCTAAGTAACAATTGGTTATAGTAGCTTAGAATAATGCTAATGAATAATGATGACCGAAACTTTCAATAATAAAAACTTAAATACCATTATTTTTAACTAACTTGCTTTTTGTCCAACATAGTTAAAATAATTTTCAAGCTCCAAAGTTGAACCGTCAGATGTTCTTCGACAAGATTCATATGAATATTCTGTATATACTTATACGATAAAAATTCAAAGGTATAAGTTACAATCTTTTTCTATATTGTAATCTAAACAAGGAGAATCTAGTTCTTATCTGAAAAATATATTTTATATATCATGCCATTATTACGTAAAGGTTCGAGTACAGAAATTGACCAGCTTTAACAAATATTCTTTTACTACTGACATTGTCATTAATGTCATTGCTAATTAAGTTTAAATATTTTATTTCATTCGCTTGCTTTCTTATGTTTAGGTTTTCCTAAGTTAATGAAACTGGACACCTTTACTCTTTCTTAGCTGGGAGGTTTCTACAGAGTCCCTTCCTTCTCTTTGATTAATTTATGTATTCCTCACAAGTTTCGCTGATTATTCGATGACTCATCTAAGATCTGCGTACCACTTGTTTCATAAGTGTAAATGGTTAAAAGCTAATAGATACGCAACAGCACTATTGCAACCATTTAAGTGGACTGTCCGAAATAGTAAATCATAGTGAATGATTGAAACTCAATATTTTGTAGGCTAATTATTGATTTGAATCTTCACTAGAAAAATATACATTTAAAAAATAGATCCACTTAGTAACGGGATCCAATTCAATTAGTTGTTAATGACAATTTTTTTTGTTGGTTTTGTTTTTCCAGATAACTGTTTATACATTATTATGGTTGAGAAATTCTAGTTCTTTATTTTTAGTAACAAAAATAATCATCGTAATAAGTATCAAAATACAAATTATTACAATAATTTGAGTTCATTTGTATACTGGCATACATTTTTCCTAAATACTTAATTAAACCGATAAGCACTTATTGTACAACAATAAACTCATCATCCATTTCATCGCTTTCACTACTCGGAGTATTAGTTGTGACGTTTTTGTTATTGGTAAAATTGACATTGTTGTTGTTATCATTATCAACACTTACCCTTAAACGACTATCAGCTACTGTCCATACACGTGCACCATAGTCATTAGATGTGCCCAATATATATGAGCCTGTTGAATCAAAATCTACGGAGTTTATGCCAGCACTGCTGCCGCCAAGCACTGCTCGTGGCTCTGAAGAACCTATATGATATAAATAGTTTCGTTAACATATAAATAAATAATATGCCATTAAAATCATTTCTACTACCTTTCCCCACATCCCAAAATTTTACTTTACGATCAGCACCACCAGTAGCTACCATACGTTCAATAGGACTCCAGCGTACGGCGTGCGATTCTGTTTCATGTGCTTCAAATTTCATGAAAATTGTTGTTGGATTGCAGTCCTTCCCATAGCATTCGGGTCGTTTCGTGCTTGCCCCAAACATTTCATCACCAAATAGAAAATCTCCCCCTCCGGCAATCGCACCGTTATTTATGCCCAACGCTATGTTTATGTCTTCCTCAGCTATCTGCGAGGGACTAATGGAATTTCGATGTGAGAACTGCAGATGAGTTTCGCGTGCGGCGTCTTCCAGGTCGCGCTTTACTTTATCCGAACGTTTTCTGAAAATTGACGGCAGTCTACTTCTAGATATTTAAAATTGGGTTTCACAATTTTTTTTTAATTTCATTTTGTTCAAAATATAAAAAAAAGAGAAAAAAAATTGTTTTGGTGGTTTGCTTAACATTTTGTGGTATTTATTGGTAAATTGGTAAAAACAAATTTTTTAGAGCCATTAGCTGTGTGTGGTGAGTTTTTATGTTCGGCATACGCAGTTTAATATTTTAAATAGATCTGAATAATTTTTCAAAGGTTTAGTACGGTGAATTCAATTTCAATGCAACGCAAGGCCGAATCTTAAGTAATGCAAATGTTAACATGAAATTTAATTGTGGATGCGACAAACAATATTCAATAATATTTTCAAATTAATTAAAAACAATTAAAATTTTAAAAGCATTTTCAAAAATTTCTCTACAATTCATGCAGCAGCCGTAAGTTTTCAATCGTCTTCAATCAAGGCAGGCGTGTGAGAGTAAGAGAAGATTCATTTTTAATCTGCATTTTCAGAGACTATACATATGGTATACGTATATGCAGTCAGCGTAATTAATCATAGAATTTAACATTTTAAATTTTAATTTTAAAAAAATCGAAATGAAAAAAATTACTTGAAACCCAATCACTAAAAGCTTAATTATAATTTTTATGTAATGTTTTATAAATGTTTTATTGATGCTTTAAATAAAAGCAGAAAGCTATGATAAGAACGTGGCAATGAGGTATGGAATATTAGCGCAGTATTGAGATAGAAACATGGAGCCATATAATAGAAAGTCAAGGGGAAAGAAGTATAGTTAAAGTGGAAAAAAATAGGAAGAAAGTGTAACGATTAGAACTATAACTAACACAAAAACCTTATAATAATCTAGAAGATTTTAGAATTCTGCGAAAAATAAGGCAAAAGAAGAAAAAGTTTAAGGTAGAAATGTACTTTCATTTAAAAAGAAAAATTTTAAAAGATTGAAGAAATAGATTGCATTGCCACTATAAAGTAGATAGTAGATTCGCGTTCCAATAAGCGAATATATTTTGTTCTTAAGCGATCCAAGTATTAAATTCTTAAAACCGTTAATATTTAAGTATGGGTCAAGTTTAAATTGCCTTTACTAAGCTTAGATTAGATTAGCTTAGATTAATAACTATATATACTATATAGTATATTATATACTGATATACGGCACATTTATATTTATTTATATTTATATATAAAGTATAACATATATGTATACAATGAAACAAATACTTTATCTTTATACTATATATGCACATATATTCAACAATGTATAAATATATAATAAAAATAGATAAATAAAAAGTAGTTAATAGAGAGTAAAAGTACTTAGGTGCACTGACTCAACTAGCCTTAATATAATATACATATATGCCTTGTTTAATATATATGCAATTAAATATTGCATATATTGTTTATTATTTATATTGTTTATTATTTATAAAAAGTGTTTATATCATCATTCATATATTTTCTATATACTTATACAAAAATTTTTAAAATATTCATATATATATCAAAACAAACATAAATAGTTTACATATACAAGAAATTAAGGAAAGGGAAAGTTGTTCGATATTAAGAGCTCATGATATAAATACTATAGTATTTTAAAATAGAATATTGTGAATTAAGTTATATTCGTGAAATAGACTTTAACTTCAAGTTAATTATAAGTTTTTAAATAAAAAGTTACTTATACATTATACATTAAGACCGAAAAGTTTTCGGAAATTCTCATTTAAAATTCGCGCGCTGTATATTTTTCGATATTTTAAGTTTATGTAGTTTGGCAGCACTGTCCTTAATTACTATGCCAAAAATGAGCGCGATCTGTCAGACAGTTCGTTTACGGCAGCTGTTGAAACCAGTTCACCTCAGTAGGGCGTTGCGAAAAAAACAATGGAAAAAAATATTGAACAAAGAGTTTGCATCAAATTTTGTGTTTCGAACGAAATTTCGTGTGCAGAATCGTTGCGAATGCTACAAAAGGCTTATGGGGAATCAGTTTTATCGAAAACTCAAGTTTATGAGTGGTACAAAGCCTTCCAGGACGGTCGTACGACCGTCGAAGACATTTCGCAACGCACTACTGAGGTGAACTGGTTTCAACAGCTGCCGTAAACGAACTGTCTGACAGATCGAGCTCATTTTTGGCATAGTAATTAAGGACAGTGCTGCCAAACTACATAAACTTAAAATATCGAAAAATATACAGCGCGCGAATTTTAAATGAGAATTTCCGAAAACTTTTCAGTCTTAATGTATAT